CAGAGGTCCCTGCCAATCCTGACCAGTCTGTGATTCTGGGATGCTTCTGCCTCACTGATTTGTTGACCTTTGCTCACATCCTAGCCACGTCTTTTCTTTCGCCTGATCTTAGGCTTCTCTGACTCCTGGGGACAACCCACTTTGATAACAAAACTGGTTCTGACTCTACTGATTTCACCTGGCACCAACAGCAGACCTGGCAAATCCCTGTCCGTGTCCCATGTTTCATCTTCCAAGCACCCAGTTGCCCACAGTCACTCACACATCACCCTGTAGTAAGACTAAGTGTGTGAAGTTGGTCTCAAAACTCCTTCTGCAAGCAGGTATAGCCTAAGCCGGTGGTTTCAAAAGACTTCTGGAGGATGTTACTGCCCGTCCAGTTCAGCTACAAATCACAAATTTGCCTGAAAAAAGACTTTGGTAGCTCTAGCCTCTGTGAATCTACTGCTGCTTTGCAGCAGCAAACTTTCACTAATGTGATTAACTTAGCACTAACGACTGTGGAGTTGAACTGATAAAGACAAACAAACACAGTAAGAGGAACTTGAATGACACGATCGAAGTCCCTCAGGTTTCTGATTAATTGGCTCTGGCAGCTAAGTAAACTACCAATTCCAGATTATACATAAATTATTAAAGTAGTATGCAGTCACTTCAATAAATTAGTCCACGAGGAACATAAAATACTCCTCTGGAAAAAAGTTTTCACTAGCCAGTTGCATTGCTGAGTATGCAGGAACATTTCTGCAGCACATTCCAGACAACCAGTGTAGGGGGAAATAAAATCAACTCTCATGCTAGGAATGTGCTGGATCTGTAATCATTTTCATGCCAGTAAATAAAAAGCTCTTCCTTACCTAAAACACTCATTTCATCGTGGCACAAATCTAACAACTTATCTATCTCCCTTAGCTCACTGTCATGTATTTCATAAGACTGTCACTCATAATTTGCTGGAATTTATTTTTATTTGGTTTTAAAGGAAAGTAAGCTCAACACTGAAATTTACTGTGTGTCTAAATTCCGAATTTTAGTCAGGATTTTCTGTTCCATCAAAGAGACACAGCTGACATGGTAAACCAGTTTTAAACTTACATTTGAGAACCTCTATCCTGCTTACATCAGAAAGATGTCAATTTTCAGGCAGCAACGTGAAGAGAAATCACAAAGTTCAACTCAGAATATTCTGTGGTTTCTCCCCCTATTGTACATACCTTCATTTTCAGTATTGGCTGGAATAGAATCAACACCAAAGGGATGCCAGGGCTGAAGGTCATCTAGGCTGAACTCTCCATCCACTGGAAGAAGTTCAACTGTGGTCTTCGTTTCCGTCAATGAAGGCATGAGAGCATCATTTCCATAGCTGATTCTGGGTTCGCTGATCATGTTGGCCAAAACATCATCAGAGTAGTTTTGCTCTTTCTGAAGTAATTCATCTGCAAGGAAATTTCAACACAGAAATTATCTGAAAAAGCCTGCATTTCTGAGGACCTATTTCTAATGTTATTAAAGTAATAATTTACTGTTAGGAGATCCTGTTTTCTTATGACACAGAAAAACATAAAGGCTTGGAATAGTCAAAATTCTGTGATAAGCACTGCAGCTAAGTAAGGCATTTTTTGGAAACATCAACCAGAATTGTTCAATACCGTTTCCTACCCGCGTTTCCACCACGTAACAGATCACAGGTCTGTGCTTTACAAGTCCCTGGACTCTTCCACCCCATCTTTAAAGGAAGCACAGATCATTTCCCTTCAACGCAACACGTTGCCGTAAGTCAACACGCGAGAGGCCCACAGGAAGGAATGTCTTTGTTATTTCCCCTTCCTCTTCAATGTTCACCATCAAAGCCCATCACGGCTCTTAAATCCTAAATCACCACAACAGTTACTGCATTAAACTGGGCTTACTAGAACACACTGAATCGGAAGAAATATTTGCTGTTTTAACACATCTAACTTTGCCAAAATACCGAAGTAGTTATTTGCTAAATATCTTCAGTAGCAATAGGCAAATTATTTTACAAGCAACCAGGACCTAAAGCTGTGCAGTATTATCTATGTTGTTTTTCGGGTTTTATTTGACTTGAAGCAAGGTGAGAACACTCAAAGCACTTTTCAGCACCATCAGGTGTATAGGACAGACTCTCCAACCCAGTGTTAAAAATAAGCTTGGAGGTTGTGTGTGCTTCATTATTCCAACTCCTTTCTCACATCAAAGTTCATCTACTCTTGAACTCCCCCTTCGCTGACATTTTTTCTGCAGGAGCAACACACCATTTGCAAGTACCTTGAGGGAACTTGGTGCACAAGAGCATATTTGAGTAAGCACGCAATTGCAAGGGAGAAAATAGAAAACTGCTAATAACGCATCGATGTCGTTAGTAAGCAGGCGTTACAGAGCTAAAGAGCTCAGAAGCAAAGACTGTAAGGGTTACGTTCCTAGAGTGCGAGTGCTTGCACACGTGAGCACACAGGTGACAGCTGACGATACCAAAGCTTTTGTTCAGATTGGTTTCTCTCCGCTTGGTTAAGGGCCCCCGACCGTCACTGCTTCACACCTGAACCCTGCAGCAATGCAGAGCCAGGAACCACCGCTCTGCTGCCAGACCCTGTATGTCGCTCCGCACGGGCTCACTTAGTTCCCAGTAGCGTCAGTGAGAAAAGGCATCTAAATTTCTCTACACACCACAGCTTTAGCCCCCGCAGTAAAATCTTTTGAATGTTATTTCCCTCCCAACCTTACACCACGCCATACCACCACTACCGATGTACGCTGCACTCACGCAGCAGTTCCCCGTAAGGACCCTCACCAAGCCACGGGCATCAGAGCTGGCGTCGCTTCAGTGCCTTCAGTAGCAGGGCTCTGCTCTGCCGTACGTCTCCTAAAGGCCACCTTGAGATAGTTGATGCAATTCTCTGCCACCCTGTTACTACGCCAAATTCAGAACATCGAAACTAAGCAAAAAGTTGTAACCTCAGCCCTGGGGCAAACATGGGTCCTGAATCTTGTAAAGTGATGTTGTAAAACAAATTTTCCTGTTTACACAGCAATTGCTTTAGTAGACAGTGAGCTTAATACGCATACAAAATTTAATTCTGTGATTTCATTTGTTCATTAGAATGACTTACTAGGACAGTATAGAAAGCCTACATAACACTAAATCATTTTTCACTGTGTGTTCCTTTTATTGAAAACAATACTCTTTTTATAAGATACGTACTAAACCTTCAGCATGGGAGGCAAGTCTGGTTTGTGTCTCCCCACTGCACTTACACTAATCCTTTATCAAATTAAAGCGTCTCCTTGTACCAGAGGAGAGACAGGTGAAGCACCTTGATACACTGAGCAGACACCGTATTACGTGACAGATCTTAATTTTCATCAGCTAGGGACAAAGAGACTACAAAAAGGAGCTGGATGTTAGTGGCCGGTGTGAGAAGCCTGGTGTCCAAGTGCCTTGCAGGGAGCCACGGGCGATACCAGTTCTAATACCAAGTCATCGCGGCTCACAGGAATGCGAGTATTACAGTACCGCCGAGCACCTCGGTGCCCGCAAGCCTTTCGGACCCAGGAAGCAGAAGGGTTTTGGGGTGCAGCTCCCCTCGTTCCCACTGTCCTCCTCGTCCCCAGAGGACGGTGTTGGGCAGCTGCGCCCACGCAGCGGCAGCAGGGAGCGGTGCCGGGGGTGCTGTGCCCCTGTCACCCCTTTTCTCTAGACAGTGCCAATCCTCCACAGTTCCCGTCCGTTCCCTGCCGCCGCCATGCTCTGTGTTACCTGCAGACAGCTCCTGC